TTTCACATAATGTGATCGATAAATCAGTTCTTTAATTATACAGGATTGAACCTCTTTATCGATCACTTGATTGATTATTACTTAATCGATCACCTATTCAATTAACCTGTGTTTTCACCGAATATACTTTTGCTTATTGTTTATCGATAAGGTTATCTATCATCTATTTATCGATAATGTGTTCAAAAATTATTGCTTTAAATTCTGTTCTATAACACTTTGTTTATTGATAACCTGATCGATTAACAAGTGTTTGATCACTTGTTCGATCATTGTACAAGTTCATTTCATAACAGCATTTCACGATGATTTCAAAATATTTATTTTTTATCTTTAAGCTTTCTCAGCCTTCTTTTTACACATAACTCTACTAAAAGGATATGAAGGCAAACGTAACTTGAAAAAGTTTATTCTTGCATAAATCATTTAAAGCTCACTGCATTCATGTTTCATCAATTATCAATCACATGTTCGATCATCATATGATCCATAATCTATTCGATAATTGCATATATCTGTTATATCTTTTCTTCATATAATTAATCGATAATATGATCGATCAAAGGATTATCGATCAAGGCATCGATTAAGTAAGTTCATCTTACTTTCTGAATATCTGAATATCTGATGATTGATTCCATGGTTTTTTAACTTATTGTTTCTAAGATTATCAGATACTTATCACTTGATTTGAGGAAGATTATTTCAGGTAAAGAGCCACAATGAATTTATGATGGGAAGAATTGACTTTCATCAGAAGCTTCCAACGGCTAGTTTCAACAGTCATATTCTTCAAGCCAAACGGAAAGAAAATGCTCAACGGTCAAGTACCCAATATCATCTATAAATAGAAGAGCATTCAAAACAAGAAAAAGAGAAGAGTCTGAGCTTAGAACATCAAATGCTAAAATGCCAAATCAATATATTCTCATTTAGAGCTTCGAGAGAAAACTCCCTGTCTCTGTACTTCATAGACAAAAACATATGTATTCGTAAGATAGAGAGGAGAGTTTCCCAAACGTGTTTAAGATTCATCTATCACTTCTTTGAGAGAAGAAATATTCAATCTTCTTTATCATTATCAGATTGTATCCTTATGGTGTATAAGGGGGAGTATTACCTCAGTGAGAGGTTGTTGTTGAATTAGACTTGTTAGTCTAAGGATTGTAAGTGGCGACACAAGTGCCCGGATCAAACTTGTGGTTGTAGTGGTTCTCAAGTACCCATGTTAAACTTGAGGGAGATAGTGGATTGAAAATCTCAGGGGGAGCCTGGGGACTGGACGTAGGTCGGTGAGGACCGAACTAGGATAAATCACAATTTACATCTTCTCTTCCCTTACTTTTTATATTTCCAGCTAAACCATTTTACTACTGTGATTATGCTTATGTCGATTTCTTATTTTTATACTCAGAATTTCTTATGAATTTTATTACATTGCGAAAAGGTTTTTAATTTTAATTAACACCCAATTCACCCCCTCTTGGGTGTTCAACCATTCTTACAAATTTCTCATATGTAAAGCATCCTTAATTATTGATACATTGTTCCAACATAATTCATAAATATATATAACAATACATAACAATGTGTAATAATTACAAAACATATCTTTAATAACATTGAGCTTAATCATCCTCCAAAATGAATCCCTTTCCTTTTTCCTTGCTTGATCCAACCCCTAGCTGGTGAATATTGGAATATAAAGGAATGAGATTTCATAGAAATCTCAGTAGCAATAAATCATAATCATCATGTTAATTAAGCATTGCATAATGCATTACGTTACAATACTCCAAACCATTCCCAATAAATAATAATTATGTCATGCATTATGTCATGAAATAAAACAAGCTCATAATCATGTTGGCATATCATTATGCATTTGGCCAAAGAATATCAAGCATCATAAAATCAACTATTTCCATAACATAATTCAATCAACACAAAGCAAGCAATATAAACACATTAAGCAAGTAAGAAAAACAATCAAATTATAGATTCAATACTACCTCTTACACTTGACGTAATTTAGCCTCCTCAAGGGGTTAATATTCTCCTTGATTCTTCTCCACAAAACCTATCAATTCAAGTATAATTTCAAGGCATATTAACAACCAATTAAGCTTGAACATAAACACTTAACCTTAAACCTACTTAAATCCCCATTTTCTTTGATTTTTGATATAATTATTTCTCCTTTAATTCCAACTATCTCTTAACTCATTCCTAGATGATTTTTCATGTAGAATCCAAATATCAATTCAGATTTATCAAAATCACACTCCTTCTCTTCCATCTTACATTGGCCGAATAGGGGTAGTATATTTTTCAAAAATTCTATTTTTGATTCCAATTATTTGAAATACTTTTCCTTAGAAGAAATTATTAAGAAACAAAAAACTAGACTAAACACTAAACTAATTGAGGCAGTGGTTCAAGAATCAGTGGGTCATATTGGGATTAAACAGGTCATATTAAAATAATATAATTTAATTAAAATAACAAAATACAAAAATATTAATAATCATTAATAACAAAATACAAAGAAATATAACAATAGTTTGATTGTAACAATAACCAAGTATAATAACATTGGAGATTTTGAATTTTATGATTCCTCAATAACTAAAATTAATAACCATTGATACCAAAATTGTTGTTAAAATTTATTCATATCTATATTAACTAAAATACTAGGAACTAAATGGCAAAAAATAGAACCAATAATAACATAATTATCCAAACCTATTCATCCCCGGTTTTCACCAATTCACCTTGATTTGGTCAGGTTGATACTGGTTTGATTCCTGGGTGGTTTAGTGCCCAAACCTGACCAGAATCAGTGAACCGGCATGTTCCGTTTGATTTTTTTTTGTTCGCCAAAAATTATACGCTAATATGCATTATGGGCGTGAGAGGAACTGAGTGCTATTCTTTCACTTTCTCGTAGTCGGAATCACAATCTTATCCTCCCAACCTCCATTTTTTGTCGTTCTCGTTATTTCTCCTAATAAAACAGCTCATAATATAATGATAATGATTTTGTGTTTGTTCTAAAAATGAAAAATAATTTTATTTTAGTTTTTTTAATCTTCAATCGCACTTCAAAAAAGATTTTTAAAATTTTGAAATAATTATTTGAAGGGAACTTTTGGGAAAAAAAATTGTCCATTATTTTATATGTCAATTTTTCAATTTTATTTGAATAGGATTTTTATACCAAACTAATATGTATACCGACTAAAAAATGACAATCTGATTTGGGAAATATTTAAGGGAAAGTTCTAAACATAGCAATGAAAAACTTTGTATGGGAGCGATGATTTTAAACAGACTCCAGACTGTTGTGCGGCTCAAGTTGCGCTCAGGATCTCATTGAGGCCAATATGGGGCCCTCTAATCAGATATAATTTTGTTTTGTTTTATCTTCGCTTTGCATTTTTTCACTTCAAAAGCTAAGAAAATATTTTAAATTTTGCTACGTCTTAGTTATGAAAGAAATTATGGGCATGAGAAGTTCTTGTTGATTAATAATCTTAGAAGAAACGATACGTGCTTGCACAATGGGCATGACAAAAAACTGTTTGATTTTTGGTCCGAAATAGAGAGAAATTTATTTCAATTTACTTTCTCTTACTCTTTAAATCTTATCCTTCCCGCCGACATTTTTTTTTTTGTTGGTTCTCTTCATTTCTGCTGAGAACTCAGCTAATAACGATAATATTTTCAAATTGCATTTTTTAAGGGTTAAGATGCATTCCACAGCATCTTAAAATATTTTTTCAGGTATATTCAATATTCTAAAGTATTTAGTAGGACATCTAGCATCCTGAGGTGCTTTTTATGTGTATTCAGCATCCTTAAGTATTTTTTAGTGTAATTTTATACTCAGCAATTTTGGGTGCTTGATGCACAAAAAAAATAATTTGGGTGTTAAATACATGTGGAAAAAAAATACTTTATGATACTAGATGCACTAAAATATTATTTTGGGTGTTAAACCTGCCTGAGAAAGCATTCCATGATGTTGGATGCACCACTAAATATTTATAATATTTGATGCACCTAGAAAAATATTTAAGGTGTTGGATATAACTTTTTAAAAAAAATAAAAATAAAAACTTTAAGGAGTATATTTGTTCTTCTACCTTCAAAGTAAGTTTCATTTCATTCCCATCGTTTTATTATTTTTCTTGGCAGTCTTTTAATTTTGAAGCGTGGTAAAAAACCTTCCAAGCAGTTAAGACTACTAAACAAAATTAATGAAAAATAGTTATTCGCGTACTGAAAATTCATCTTATTAAACTTATAATGTATGATTCCACCAAAAGAAAAAAACATCACGAATTCCATAGAACAAAAAGTAACGACGATTAACTCATTAACTCTATCGGAAAATGAGATAAGTTTTTAGTAAACCTATATTTAAAGCCAAGAAAGAAAGTGACACATTAAAAGAAAAGGGTAATATTTTAAAAACTATAATAAATACTTTCATTGGTGACTTGTAATAAGACCGACATTATTTTTCCTATAAGTGCTTTATTAAAAAGAAGAGGAGGGGAGTGTTTTTTATTGGACAGATAGTGACCACGCAGTGGGCAGTATTTGTTCTATTTGAATCTTATCCTTCTGGTCTTCATTTTGTTTGTTGTCTTCATTTCTGCTATGCTTCCCAGAGATCAGTTTCTATTAGAAATATTTGGAGGGGGAACTAAACGCATATTATGGAGATGTTTTGCATGTTGTGGCTATTAAGATCTTTTCATACAAGCAAAGAGAATTTACAGCTACGATCTCTTTAATGTTCTATAAATAAAAATATTGAATCAACTTTATCACACGCCAAAGCCACTATAACTTCCTTTTCAAAAAAAGAAGTGTGCTTATTATATATTTTGTATAGTACAGCGCCCTCCATTACTGTGAAGAGTTTCTCCATCTTTATCACTCAACTCGTAGATGAGTGACTCAATGCTTCTCATGAACAAATAATATAAGAAAATTTACTGCCCTCTGAAACACTCATGCATTCCATACAATAAATGGATACAAGAAAATTAAACCTAATGCAGGTTCACATAGAGAGAACATTATGGTACACATTACATGCAAATTTAAGCTCAGAATAGAATAATTAAAAGGATAAACCAGAGCCGCCCAACTTATCTTCTATCACTTTGGACAATTTCTCTTGCATCCCAGGACTAAAATGATTCACCCAATCTCCTACTTCACCTTTCCTGAAGAAATTCTTGTTCTCATACTTCTGCATAAACTCGCCTTTCTTGTTAGCCTCCAATTCTTTCATCTTCTCAAAGCTACATAGCTCTATTATGCTTTCAATAACACCGTTACTTTCTTCCTCTGAGTTGAATGGGAAACCCAAGAACTCAGCAACTATTTTCAAGTAGAAATTGATATCTCCTTTCAAATCTTCGTACTTTAAAAACAGAACATTGTTTGGCATCACTTTGCTTTCCCTCCAATAACTCAACATATGAGTCCAGAATGGACCGAACTCATTGGCTCCCCTGGAGTACCTCTCAAGTGCTTCTTCACGGGATAACTTGGGCAATGATGGTGGGATAACTTTGTTGATGAATAGCCAAAAGGACACGAAATGGTCAAATGGGTTACGACATATGTAGATTATCTTGCACTTGGACTTGGTAATAGAATCTGGCAATGAATGAAATGGAATATGTGTACCAAAAATTCTTGGTTCAGGCAAGTCAGAGATATCAGGAATCTGCTGGTTGTTTCCATAGTGGTTGAACTCAAAGAAAGGTACAAGGTCATGGGCATTGGAAATAAGCAAAGGATGGTTATGTTGTGAGGGAGAGAAACGATTACGATTCACAATGGCAAATATAAGGGCTTTTAACCAAGTGGTGCCAGATTTTGGTAAGGAGGCTATAATAATATCATTATCTTTTGCTTGGAAGTGCTTTTGAAAAGAGATTATGGCTTGAATTCGAGTTGGTGGATACCAAATATCTTGGTAGAGATAAAAGTATGGGAAGTCCCAACCCTTCTCTTTGGGGAGATAGAGAAGTAACTCCCTACATTCGTGGCTAAGGTTTTCAGATTCTTCATTTTCAAGCTCAACATTTGGATGGGATTTTGTGAAGCTAGTAGTAGTAGAAGTTGCAGCCATTGAAATGCCGATGCAACCGTAATGATAGGCAATGGAATAGTTCGCCTACAAGTTGCATTCGTTAATTTATAGAGAGTTCTTATTAGCTACTGCTCTGTGCCGCTATTGATAGATGATGTGATATGGATTTTTCTTTTCGATTTGAGTGGACAGAATTAAAAGGTCCAGATTGCGTCGCGTCACTTAGCCGCTGATAATTACAGAACTATTTAAAGTTGGCAATCATCATAGGACAAATGAAAAACGACAAGGTTACCTACGTGGAAAGTGAGGAAATACGAGTAGTAGAAATGATGCGACAGCACTCGTTTGCAAAATGTCACGTGGAAAAAAATGTATATGAAGAGTACTGGTTGGTTCTACTTTTCATTGTTTGCGTGTCTTCGAAATCATCTTGTGAGCAGAGCAAAAAAATTTTTTTTTAAAATATTACCAGTTAAGAAATTACTTTTATTTTAGATCGTGTACCTATCAAAATAATTTTTTTCAAAAAATACATAAAGCTGGACCTCCAAATTAAATCTGGACGTCCAGATTCAGACTCAATCCGTCTATCCTCTCACTTCAACTAAAGTGTCATTTTCAAAAAGTCACATTAATTCGCGCAAATGATATATGTTTGATATTCCACAACTCAAGAGAAATGGAGTCATAGAAACCTGATATTCTACGTGTTTGTATCTATTTCACGTTTTCCGTTTTTAAAACAATACTATAAATTTTTCAGAATAAATTTTGGGAACAACAAATGAAAAGAAAAATACATTTAATTGTTTTGAAGATAACATCTAAAATAAAAACTGAATACATAAAAATTCAATTGAAAGACTTAATTTGAAAATAGATTTTGAGTCAACATAATGATATGGACGCTTTATGAATTTGTTTTGAGAACTCAGGAACTACAAAATAAAGACTTGAGACTTCATGAAATATATAGAATTTGTTTCTAGATCTTTGACTTAAAGAATAAAGGCATCACAATGAGTTAACCAGACTCTTAACAACTTAAGTATTCTATCAAGAACACAAAGTTACAAATAAATACCTGCCAAAAGAAAATTCTCATTCATACTGTAAAAATAAGTAAATTCTGTAACTTTCTCTTTAAATAGCTAAAATTTCTAGCCCTACATGATTCTAAAAGATTAAAAAGTATTATAAAGATAACAGGATGTCATATATCTTAACCATTTAAACATCATATTATGTCCCCATTATTAAAAAGAAAACGTACAGCACCTCCTCCAAACCAAATTTCCAGTGTCAATGATGATCTTCCAACATCACAAATCAACAGGCATGTACTGAAATCAACAACTACAAACTCTATTCCATCATATAGACAAGACTTCTCTATCTTAACTCTTTGATTCTTCATTTTCTCTCTCTGACATTAAATTTCCAACCATCATCATGTTGCAAATGTTCATCGAATAGAGAAAGAAAAGATGGGGTAAGGTTCTAGGCACTTACCTTAGCCTAGAAGTAGGATTGCATGCAAGAGAAATCACCTCCTCCTTCCTCCTCTTTCTTTCGGTTCTCTCTCTCTTTAAATTTTTTTTGTGCTGGTTTGAGATGAGGATGAGGATGGAAAATCAGACGGTTAAATGGATGGGAGTAACACGTGTGAGCGGTGTGAACCCACTTGGACCATTTTGCCCCTCAGTTAATCTTTTACTTCTAATTCCATCCTTTATTTATTTCTCTGAAACACAAATAATCCTTAGAAATTAATCCTTATACTTTATGACAATTTTACTATTAACTTCTGTACCTTTGTAGCCTCTCTAAAACTTTCAGGCCAAAATTTAACTCCGAATTATTTTTTAAAATTTTCCAAAAAAAATACCTTAATTCCATAAAATAATTCTTAGTATTTTATAAATATTTTATACCTTACTTAGTTTTTTTAACTCATAAAATAATTATCTTAAAATTTTCATTTCAAAAATTAACCTTTAATTATTTTTCCTTAAATTTTTGAGAAAATAAGCTCTTATCTCTAGAAATTCGCTTTAAAATTATTTAAGCCAATTTTGGGAAACAAAACTTTTCATAACTTTCCTAAATACTCAAGATTAATATTCTATAATATTTTATTAATTTTATTAGGCATTAAATAATTTTAATAATTATTTTTCTTAATTTTTCCCACCCAAATTAAATTTTTTGGTTATTAAAAATATTTTTGAGGCTTTATTTCTTAAAATAATTCTTTTGAACCTCATAAATACTTATTGACCTATTTATTCTGAGTTTTAAAATTCAGCACGCAGGTATGTGGAAGACAATAAGTATGGCTTATACGCTTTGAAACAACTAGCTAGAATTAATTTAGTTAACCAGAGCCATGTATCGGATAAAGGCAAAAGAAGCCTGAAGGAATATGAGAAAATTAGGAGGAAGACGATTAGCAGTAGCGTGTTTCACGCTTCCGCACCAGCCCTTTTTATAGACATGAACAGGCACAAACCACTAGAGGATGCGTCCCTCTGTTCCACCAAGAAAGCGCGTTAGAAACGATTCTCGTTTTTTCTCTGGTAAAAAGAAAAAAAAAAAAAAAAAAAAAAGAAACGATTCTCGTCTCCGTTGACGGTGGGACGATTCGAATGTTGGACATGCAGCCAATGTTTGACAAGCAAATCTCGCAAGATCATCCCTTCGGCCCAAAAAAGTCCAAAAAAGTAAAACGGCAACGTTTTCAACTTTAAAGACTTTGGAAATAAGGTTTTCTTTTTCTTGACAAGGAATCTAACAAAAATTAATTAAAAAGATTTATAAATATTTAAAAAATAATTTTCCTAAAAGATACAATTAATCAAAGCAAAAATGACACATAAAGAAGCTTGAAAATGTGAAATGCCAATTTGGGAACTAAGGAAATATAACGACAGAGAGGGAAGTCCTTCCCAAATTGAAATTTTGAAATTCAGTGAAATAACAAAAATGCCCTTTGTCTTTTTTTTCCCTTAAAAAAAAAACCTCAACCCCTCACCAGTGGCTGGCGGCTGACAGCCAGTCGTCGGCAGCCAGTGCCGACCACCGGTAAAGTTTTTTTATCACAATATTTTTTTTTTTGCATGGGAGAATATTGGTTGGAAGTGGCGAGGATGGGATTTGATCCCACAACCCTTTGGTCATTTGGGCCAACAAAAAAGAAGATGACTATTGAGCCATCAAAAATTTCTTAACCTTATAATGCAAATAAAAATATAAGTTGACTCTTTTACTGTGACTCCAGCTCTTGACAACAATTTACCTGAGGATGACAAGTCTTAATTGAGAAATAACAAGTCTAAACTTGATATTAACAAAGCAACTTTTCGTGATATATAACAAGAAGTAGCATGTACATTAATTAAAAAAGACCATAATTTATTTGAAAATGACATGTCTTTACTGGAAAATGACAAGTCTAAACTTGAGACTATAATGTGTCTTTTCCAGATACATAACAAGAACTAGCATGTACATTAATTAAAAATGACCATAATTTATTTGAAAATGACACGTCTTTACTGGAAAATGACACGTCTAAGCTTGATATTAACAAAGCAACTTTTCCTGATACATAACAAAAAATATAGTTTTTTTAAAAAAACGATTCTTTTATGCCACATTTATTCTTAGAAAGGTGAATTATTTTTTGAAAAAATTCACTAGTACAAAATATTTCTTATAAAACAAAACCACAAAAGTAGAGTAAAGAAAGATGAGGACAAGAAAATGAGAGAACCATTGTAATTCTTCACTTATTCCATAACACAAATGACATGCCCTATTTATAAGCATAGTCTTACACATCGGTTACACTTGTCTTTAAATAACAAATAGTGGATACTCAATCTTATGAATGTGAGTGGAGGTGAGTTACAAGATTAAATGGATAGTGGAGGAGTAATAGATAGGGGAGAAGTAATGCATAGTGGAGGTAGTGGAAGTTACTTAGTGAAATTGAAGAAGAAGAGGTAAATAGATATCCACATAATATTCATAACACTCCCCCTTGGATGTCCGTTATACAAATTGTGCGTTATTAAAAAACTTCAACTAGGAAAAACCCTATGGGATAAAAACCTAAAAGAAGAAAAAAAGTACACATTCATCGATATACTATCCAATGCTGTCTCACTAAAAACCCTACTAGGAAAAACCCAGTGGGATAAAAACCATAGTCAAGGAAAAAAAAATACAGCATATATTAACTCTCCCTTTTGGTAACATTAGTTGATATCCCTGAGTTTGCGGAATCCAATATCATGAACAAGCTTTTCAAATATTGTACAAAGAAGTGACTTGGTCAACAAATCTGCTAGATTTTCATTAGAACGGGTTTGCCGAATGTTAATTTCACCATCTTTTTAAAGATCATGAGTGAAGAAGAATGTTGGTGAAATATGTTTTGTTCTATCTTCTTTGATGTACTCTTCTTTTAGTTGCATAATACATGCAATAGTATTTTCATACAAAATTGTTGGGATCATTTTGCCGGAAGATAAGCCACAAGTAGTTCGTATGTGATGTATTATCGATCTTAACTATATACATTCTCGACTGGCTTCATGTATTGCTAGAATTTCTGCATAATTAGATGATGCGGCTGATATGATTTGTTTCATAGATCACCATGAAATGGCTATACCACCATATGTGAACAAATAGCCTGTTTATGATCTACCAATATATGGATCGGATAAGAATCTAGCATTTAGATAACCAATGAGGTCAATCTTGGTTATGCTCAAGTAAAATAATCCCATGTCTATAGTACTCCTGAGGTAACAAAAAATGCGCTTGACTCCCTTCCAATGTCTTCGTATTGGTGACAAACTATATCTTGCTAGTAGGTTAACAGCAAATGATATATCAGGTGGTGTGTGACTAGTAAGATACATGAGTGCACCAATTGCACTAAGGCATGGTAATTCTGGACCAAGTAGTTCTTCATCATTTTCTCAAGGTTTAAAAGGATCTTTATCTTTCTCCAAAGATCTTATGACCATCAGAGTA